CGGCATTTTCTTGGCTGTGCGCCTGGACAATCAAACCCAGAGAGATACACAAAGCCTCGGTTTCGTACATCCATCTCAGTTCGTCCGGGAACTGCCGGTCCCCGACGAAGAACCGAGTTTCTTTAGATCTGACGGACTCGTGTACCGCAAGCACGTTATCAGCTTCGAGCAGGCCCATTCGTTCCACGAGTTGGATTTTCTGCCCAAGTATTTGTTGCGCACTTGTCGCTTAGCGCTGGGCAACGGTGATGGCGCGTGCAATGCCAGTTGCCAGTTTAAACGGTTCGTTATGCTTGATACCACTATTCGGTTCCAGTGTGGAACCCACCAACAGACTTACGAGCTGAACGTGGGCTGCCGCTTTTTTGCCCGAGCGGAGACCGAAACGATTACGTTCGTCTGCGCCGAACTGCATGGCGACTCCGCCGGGCGCAGTATGTTCTGGAACGAAGAGTCCTTGAAGGAAGCTTGCCATCAATATCTCGCTGAGCAAACGTTGCGAAAAATCGAACACAACCGTGGAACCGGCACGCTACAACTCGGTTAGCGCGTGGTTTTCCTATATATCTCATGTTTTTCTAACAAAGCTGGTCGAGAATAGTGTACCGATAATTTTGGGCGTTTCCCTTGAGAAACAGGAAGGCTTCATGACTACAACGCATTATGTGATTATTTTGCAGATGCGGAAGAGATGCACATCTCTGCTCTTCCCCATCCGGTTCTAGCCGTTATCTTGTATGGCCTGGACATCATTACTCGCTATCTGCGAATACGCAAGTAAATCAGTTAGGCGCTTAACTATTTGCTGGTCATATTACTGTGTCAGTGGCTGACAATCATGTGTGCTTTACAGTGTATGCGCTCTGTGGAGGATTCTTCTGCAGGAGTCAGCAGCGGACAGGCATCTCGACTTCCATGTTCATCCTCTGCACTTTCAACGACATTACGATCGAGAATTCTATGTTCAATATGCCTGGTTCAGTAATAAGCTTGTGGCACTGTTGAACAGCTCCGTTTCGCAGTATACGCACAGCATGACCTTTTCGGACGACGGACAGTGTGATCACCAGAACAAGCGCAGCAACCACCTGAAGCTGACCGTATGGAACAGCACTCGAATGCTGAAACTAAAGGCCCTTCGCCTGCCGATGATCATCGTCAAAAACGGCAAAGATTCGAAGTGGGGACCAAAGTGTTTCCTGAGCATCATCATGGATCCGCAAACCGGGGAGTGTGAGTGCACGGATCTGGCAAGCTTGATGCCTGTATGGGACGAACTGCTGCTCATCAACTACACCGCCTCAATTCCTTCGGGCATCGATTCTCTACTGACGGCACTGTTCTATAATGCCGATGACACCTGGCTGAAGGACCTGCACGCGATTAAGTTCGATTTGAACGGGACTCCAGCACATTTGAAGGTGGTTATCCCGTTTCTACGCTTCCGCTGCACGGAGTCGCCTGCGGAGCAGTGTCGACGCTTTGTAAACGCCGTCAACGACAACTGTCCGACCGTTGGTCCGGAGGTCTATGCAAAGGTCACTAGGGTGCATGCGCGCTGGGTGCAGACGCTAGTTTATCCCGACCAATGGACCGGAATTCGAATGTTCCTTGCTCAGTAAGTGTTACGGCAGAGAATCTACATGCGATCTGTCGTCAGTGTGGTTAAACTGCAACACTTTTCTTTCCGTCAGATTCAGCAGTGTTCGACCTGACGGCCAGCCGCAGGAGTGGCAAGGAGTGGAGTTGCGCCAACTGGATATCATGCTGCTGAGTCGTTTGGCCCTGCACATACTGGACGGATGCTTTGTAGACTGAGACGCATAATGACGATTCAGAGTCTGCATAACAATATCGCATATGATTCGTATATACAGTATATTATATATAATTATATCAGTATCGTCGTAGAGATGCGTTTCTTATGACTGTTAATTATTGTATAATGTTGGCGATCGTAGTCTGACTTGTTAATTGTAGTATGTATCTGTAGTATGTGGAAATTTGGCAACTTGACTTGCTAACGCGTAAGTGACAGCTTTAGCCGATTTACTAATTAAATATTTGTTTGCGAAAGCCGATACCTGCGTGCACCAAAAATTTGTAAAGCCCGTTGACTGATGTTATTTATGTTTACTGTTTTTGTTTGCTAATTTTGCCTTAAAATAAACAACACGACTTACTATGCGGTGTAATGTACGAGACAGTTAACTGCACGCATTCCAGACTCCAATGGCAGTGGCCACCATTACCGTGTTCCCGTACTTCGAATCGCGGACCCCGGAATATAACTGGCGAAGCAGCCTAGCGTCATGGTACAATAATACGACACTTATTGTCAATTTCGTTCGGTTAGCCCCTGTGATGACGGAAAGTTTCCGTTTTCATCCATCGCACAAAGGTCACGAATTCGCTGCAGATTCTGCCCGCGCCCTAGAATGGGATTTTCCCCCTTCCAGGCGTGTCCATCAATAATTTATCACTATTTTAAGCCCCGGCGGAAACCTTCGCGTCTGGCACCTGACTGGTGCTGTAACACCAAAAATGCAAGATGCCCTTACAACATTCCATTCCTACTTTAGAATTAATAGAGGTGATACATAAACAAATCCGCACTGGTCAGGTAAAAATTTGTTTGATTTAGGTCAAAGCCAACAAAACTGCAAGGGCGATGTTGAATGCGTCTGTTCTCAAGCTTGCATACCATTTCCGGTTTACAAGAGAGAAAAGAGAAGTGTGGCAAAAGCTCATTGAGTAATCGTAAGCATGCCAGCTCACGGCAATCATACTGAGAATAGCAACCCGCACTTGCTGCTACCTTTGCAGGTTGCAGTGTGCACTGAAGGTTTAAAGCTGGGTTCCCAGTGTTCTTTATCGATTTATTCATTTTATTCCATTCCCTGCTCCTGCTGTTCCCGTCTTCAGAAACTCACACACAGCTTCTTCTGTGCATGAACGGCCTCGGTTGGCAAATTTACTTATTCTCAGTTGGCATTTCACCCCTAAGCTTTTCTCCTAATCAGTTTCCGAAGACTTAGTGTGACTGATGTGACAGAGCTCTTGTTAACCAGTAATCGCCATGAGCGCCACACCGTTGTACTTTCGTCAAATGTATTCCGGTCGACGTAAAGTTAACTACGGGAACACGGTGCTAGTGCGACGCGACAACGGCCAATGGTGGCTGGGATACGTTCAGGATATGGACGGCGACCATTTCTTCGTTGACTTCGATGCCAGAACCATTAGCGCCCAATGGATCCACTCCAGCCATCTCTGGCCGCACTGTTTTCTGGGTTTCGCTCCTCTGTACAAGGGTTCCTCAGTTCAAGTGGCAGTGCCAAATGAGAAGGATGGCCCGATGGTGTTCCGCCGTGGGACGATCATCGAGGAGGTATGCCACGTCTTCTTCGCTGTACGCTGGGATGATCTCAACCCGACCCCTTCACCGAGTAACTACTTCATACATCAGTCTCAGTTGGTTGAAGAACTGCCGATGCCTGAAGCTGAATCGAGTTTCTTCGGAAAATCCGAAGGAATCGTGTATCGTAAGCATGTTATCAGGTTCGACCAGGCGCAGTTGTTGCGTGGAATAGATTTCCTACCAAAGTACCTGGTGCGCTCGTGCCGTTTGTCCTTGGGTAGTGCTGACCGTGTGTGCAATGCCAGTTGCCATTTTACGCGGTTTGTTCGGATGGGTACAATTTGGTTCCAGTGTGACGGAACTCACCAGCAGACGTACAAGATGACTATTGGCTGTCGGGTGTTCGTACGCGTGGGAATCGACACGATGATATTTCTTTGTGCCGAAGTGCACGGCGACGCCGCCGGACGCAGCATGTTCTGGGATGAAAACTCCCTGAAGGCTGCATGCCAAGAGCATTTTGCTGAGCAGCGAGTGCGAAATGCCGGCAGGATCATTACTCGGAATTATGGAATGGGTGGCCTTCACTGTCAGCTCGGTGAGTGTACATACATAGGTGTAAAAAAATTCAGCTTTTATATACGCCGTTAGAACTGGATTTCGTGCTGGAGCCTGGAGATACAGAATTCTGCATTATGCGAAACGAATTTATGGTCTGATTTCCTCACGCTAGTGCGCTCTCAGTCGTTATGAAATTTACCAGCATTTTTTTGTTGTGCAAGCAAGCGTAGCTCGCACTTTCTTGATCACCGAGGGAGGCTGGCAACCATCCATCAATTATGCGCTCATGTTCCCCGAACTTTGACCCCACTCAACTGGGTTCGTACTTCATACTGTCTATGGGGTCAGGTCATCCCATTTCTAACACTCTTCCTCAAGTGTTTCGCTGTCTAAGGAATGTCTGTCAACATAAATACGGTTTATACGTACAGTCCGCCCACTCAGTAAACAAATTGTACGAAAATGGTGCAAGTGCAGGTAGGAATACAGCGCTTAATGGATAATTCGATACTGTTGGCCAGGGAATACAGTATCAAACTGCCTTCAGGCTTATCACAAGGATATTGGGCTTAACTGGTTATCTTGCAGAGATAGAAGAGACAAGAATTACTGATGTGCCCCATCCACTTCTGGCTCGTATTTGTTATCATGTGGATCTCGTTACTCGCTTGTGGATGCGCCGGTAAGCCGTGCAACTACCACAAACAGCCACTGCCCAAACAAAATCACCCATTTTAATGACGTATTGCGCACATTGTGCTTGAATAAGGCAGGGTGTAAAACCTGGCACTGGCAAGTGCCTCTGGCGTTGCCACTGGCATGGCAAGGGATAAAACCTGGTATGTTATCCTTCTGGCACGCAATAAAATATGGCATATGCCGGAAAACTAGAATTATTAAAACCATAACTTTCAGTACGATGTTTTAGCTATGGTTTCTTGTAGACAGCTTTACCGTAAATGGATTATTACAATTTAGTTATATTAAAGACGACAATTTTTCACATATCACAATAAAAGACAAAAAAGACAAAAATGACAATGCTGTACGCAGTGCGAACGTAATTTCCGACAGAAAGGAACTCACTGATAAACTGCTAAAATAAAAACATAGCGATTAAATTGAAACTTTCAGAGCTAAATATAAAAATGGTCTTGTACCATACATCGTACGGTTATTAGTCCCGGCGAATACGTAATAGAAGTATTACTAAAACTGAATTTTCAAGAAATTTCTCATGTGCTGATAATGCGCTTGTTCAAGTCGATCTCTAATGACCGGCAAACTAATGATGTCCGAGAACGGCTGATCTCCATGTCGACGATTTCCGTGAGGTGGAACGCTGATGGCACGAGCTCTCCCTTCGTACACACACTGCACCTGTATATTAAGGGCATACATATACAGTACGGTGAGTTATACGGCCGGGCACTGCAGTAATTTTAGTACAATTATTGTACGTTATTCTATAGTACTAAAATTACTGCATTCTATCGAAACAATAATTATTGTAATAAAACTATCTATAAATATTCTGTATTAATAATGCAAATTATTAACATAGAAAATCTACTTATGCATACATAAACGAAAGTTTCTGAATATGTCTGCCAAGCAAGGTTCATCGGGCCATTATTAAGAACTCATTAAAGATAGTACATTAAGTACAATAATAAAATTTCACGAGTTTTATGTACCGAAGACCGATGGGCAGGGCGCAGTACATTGCAATTTGCAATACAAAAAGTCTTGCTAAAACTTTTGGAAATGCGACTGTTAGCCGATTTCAAACCACTTCCTTGCAAAATTTTCTAATCGTACCGATTAAAAAATTTGCAATATGCAAGTTTCGAGCAATTGCTTAATGGAATAACCGATGCAAAAATAGGAACAGTTTCTTCGATTAACTGGCAGTTTATTACTCTAACGGGCACTAAATAACTATTGAATTACTGTAATTTCATGAAAATTATTCTCATGCAACAAACAAGTTAATTAGCGTCTTATTAGCTTAATATCTTACTATGTAGATCAGCCTGAATATTTACCGCTGTCACTCTTTCTCTAGTGGTGATTGTAACCTGTTCAGCACTTCGCGACGTCGTTGCAGCAACTACATGTATCTATCAAGCCCGCTAATGGGAATTGGGAGTCTAGAACGAGATAAAAATAACAGCAGTAATATTCACCATTCAACCTATTCCTAATTACCATACGTTTAAAGTTTAAGCTGCAACTTTACATAATTTAAACACTTCACAATATCGGTTTTTATCAATATTTGTTTTATAATCCATGTTGTATATCACACATCCGAACGCTTACCCAGTGGTCGTCCAAAATGTCCAGTATCGGTACATCTTCAAGCGTTACTCTTTTTCGACAGATTAACGCAAAAACAGTCAGTAATGTTTCGGAACGTACAACTAATAAAATTGTTCGTAGTTTGTTTGCAATTGAAGTGTCATCGTGTCGTTTGCGTAACAACGATGGTTGAAGGCAGAACAGTAATTTTATGTTCAGAATGATTAACGTTTGATGTCTGAATGGCAACTACCTAAACAATATGTTGTGTCTCTATGTGCACTGAACTTTGGTCCGGCGAAAGAGAAGGTCGATGCTGTTGCGAAACTGCACCGTTGCACGAAATAAGAGGCGCCTTATACAAATTTCATAAACATACGCACACACTCATAATACAAGTACAAATACAAGTACATGTGCCAGCTGCCTTTTTGCAAGCAACTGTTCTTATCATCGCATAATATTCAGTTTTCCAAACAACAGATAACCCAAACCTTTAATTATCAGTCATGTCAAATTTAACATAAGCAGTTAAAGACAACAATGAATAAGCGTTGGATCTAAGTCCTTTCTGTTTTCGATGAGTGCCATTTCTTTTTGTGCCGGTTATAGTAAGCCTGCACATGTAAACATTCATACAAGATTTATTAAAATTTGAGTGCTCATTTAACATGTATAGGTAAAACTTAAAAGCGGATGTCTTTCGGATTTAATAACGGGTGTTTTTCGGATTTTCAATGATCACATCACAGTCTTACGGTGTGCTTTTTTTATCACATCACACCGTGAGTGCCTATTACCGGGATATTTACCTGCATTTTTTAATTACGCAGCTGTGTTAAGAGCGGCGTCATTTTGTTCTGCTTTGTGTGGAAATGTTTGGGTGATTGTAATTTTTACCGTGACCTGTACCATGGCGTAAGGTACAGACGGTGCGAAATAAGCCCGATAGTAAAACAAAAGTTTTTACTACTTATCATTATTGCAGCGAACTTTGTCTGGGCGCCAACCGGTGTCCATTAGGCGATGGGGATTTTTGCATTACAGTATTAAACGTACACCGTCCGTGCCAAATGATTGCAAATCGAAACGCGGATGCAGTACTTCGTGAATCGGCGTGGTTTTGGACTTAGCACAATTTCCGAATTCATTCTTTTTGCAGCACCATTACGCATTAACTGCTGATCGAGCTATTCATGCCGGTGGGTGTAATTCTATGAGAAAATTAGTAAGGTCTTGTAACTCTGGTCCATGTACGGGTTTAAGTATTAGTTGCTAATAGTAATAATGCAACTTAATGCAGCTAATATTGCAACTGCAACTGATACCATCGCAGTTTTATTAATTTCTGCAAATTGTACAATGGAGGCACCGTCAATATTTTCTACTTATTTAATAACCGCTGTGCCACGTGTTTTCTGGCATATGCCATATTTTATTGCGTGCCAGAAGGATAACATACCAGGTTTTATCCCTTGCCATGCCAGTGGCAACGCCAGAGGCGCTTGCCAGTGCCAGGTTTTACACCCTGCCCTTGAATAACGACCTACGTATTTCTTACAGAGGCAGAAATATATTATAGGTCCTGTTCGATAAGCGGTAACCTCGAAAATAATTAGGAGCGTTAATTTTTGAGCGGACCGTGCCATTACAGACGATTATGCCTAGATGTCTTATTTTTCTTTTTATGTAGGGTCTGCGCATTGTGGAGGCTGTTTTTTCAGGAGCGTGAAGCAAACATGCACACTGTTCTCGACGTAAACCGTCTGCATTATAAAATACCGTATGATAGAGAATTCTCAGTGGAAAATCGGATTTTCGAGCAGAAACTGGTAGCGCTACTTAACAGCTCTCCTTCGCAGCACACTCGCAGCATGACCTTTACGGACGACGGGCAGTTTCGCCATCTTCTTAAAAACAGATACCACTACCGGCTGTCTTTACTGCATTGTACAAAACTGCTGAAACTGAAGGCTGTTCGCCTGCCGCTCATCATCATCAAGAACTACGGGGATGCCTGGCAAATAGGCAGACTCGCATTCTTGAGCCTCACCAGGAACGATCAGTCCGGGGAGTTTGAATGCAGGCAGCTGGCGAATCTGATGCCCATGTGTGACCAGCTGCTGCTCGTCAACTACACCGCCTCCATCCCGTCAGCAAAAAATTCACTACTTACCGCCCTCCATGGCTTTAATGTCGGCGTGCTAACCTGGCTGGAAGATGGACACAAGATTCAGGGGCCGGAGGAGACGTCAGCGCACCTGAACGTGCTTATTCCATTTCTGCGCTTCCGCCGCACGGAGTCAACAGAGGAACAGTGTCGACGCTTGGTCGCCTCCGTCAACGAGAACTGTCCAGCCGTTAGCCCGGACGTCTATGCAAAAGTGAGCGGTGTGCATGCGCGCTGGGTACGGACGCTGATTTATCCCGGCCAATGGACTGGCATCCGCATGTTCCTTGATCTGTGAGTAACCTGCACAAATATCCTTTTCTGTCGTATTTACGACGGTGTTTTGTTCTTCGACCAGGTTCAGTAGTGTTCGCCCTGACGGCCAACCACAGCGCTGGGATGAAGTGGATCTACGACAAATAGATGTGTCGCTGTTAAGTCCATTGGCCCTGCACATTCTCGATGGATACTTCGCAGACTGAGATCAACGTTGGCGTTGTAGTTATTCTGTGCAGAAGCCGATTTGTTTATTGATTGTCCAAGTCACTTCACTGTTATCGCTGCATCTTACTGCCCGACATGGCCGTTATGTACAGCTTTTATTTTTAAGTCTTTTCCTCTCTATGCAGTTGTCTGCTGGTTCTGCTGGCGCATTCTTAGTTAGGTATGTTAGCATTCTACATATTCTGCCTTCGCTAATCCCGTTTTATACCTTTTATTCGTGTTTTACAATCACATCTTCATTAACGAAAAGGGATGGCGGGTGGAAGGCAAAGTTCGACGATAGATTTAGCAAATCTGCTGAAATCGTCGAAGCATAATTGCTTCGAGGGTCTAAGGAGCAGTTCGATTCATAAACATGCCACGATAGCAGGCCCAATGTTCGCAAAAAGAAGCTTCATCGGCGTCGTGAACGACGACTCTCCGGCTGCTGGTGCAGACGGCTATGCAAAGGTCATGGGGGATGGCCGATGGGGTGCATGCACGGCCTGAAAAGCGTAAATGAATTTTTCCGGGAGCGGATCTCAGTTCATACACAGCGCGGAAATGGGCTAGATTCCGTACCAGAAAGCGGTGAAGTATTTTTGTTGTAGGTTGTAGGCGGTATTAAGTTCACCTGAGCACTGCTTTTTCCCGAACAGATACACTGTATGATACCAAATTGCTTTTTAGACAGACTGAGTGGTACAGAATAAACTCTCAGCAGGCGAACTCTGAATTTAGACCAAACATTTCCACTCTAAGGGACTAACTTCAACGGCTGGTATACGCGCAGCATAAAAACGTAAAAAAAGTCTTATATAAGAACACTAGAACAGGCACGTATCTTTTGTATCCATAAGTGCGGTTGACGCTATTAGACACCATAAACAAAGTGCAATATTCAGTCGGTACCATTTATCCATGTATACCAAGGGAATATCACTTTTACAGCAGTAACAAGTTAACAACAACCTTTTTACCAGTCAAACCACTGAAAAATATTACAAAGAAGGTATCTGCGTAGTCAGTGTGGGCTTCAGTCTTCGGTCCATCCGGCGAGGATGTGGATGGTCAAACGATTCAGCGTCGATACGTTGAGTTCCTTCAAATCCACGGCATCCCAACACTGCGCGCTGTCATCCACGTCAAAAGGACAAAACCTGTCAATACAGTGCAGATTTAAAAAAAATTATTTGCTTCCCGTCGGACCAAAACACCAGTCTTACAGCTTACAAAAGCGCCGTTAACGAAATTCAGAAGCCGGCGTCAACTTTAGTCACAGGAAAAAGGTTTTTGAGGTCTTTATTTAGAATCCTACGCATCATTCGGTGATTTCTCCGTTTGCAGTTTTTTATTCGGTTTACTACACTGCACTACCTTTCACTCCGTTAACTACCTTTTCGAGAAGTGGGAGGAAACTGTTACGTCTGTTTTTTTGCGACTATTGCGCATGTACTACATAAGGGCAGAATGAGGAATTTGCGGAGAAGAAATATCTTTCTAATTCGTACTCACAGTTTCAGGAACATGCGAATGCCGGTCCATTGGTCAGGATAGTCCAGCGTCTGCACCCAACGCCCATGCCGCTGCATTGCCTTTTCCAATACGCTTTCATTAACGGCCGGACAATGCTCGTTGACGGCGGCTAAAAAGCGTCTACACTGCGCAACGGCAGTCTCCTTACAGTGAAAGCGCAGGAACGGAAGTATCACGCTCGGTTGAACATCCATTTCCTCCCAGCGAACCGAATAGTCTCCCGGCCAAGGAGATGCAATGTTACGGAACAGGTGGCACAGTACTGGTTTGGTGTGGGCGGGATCGGAAGCGGTGTAGTTTATTAACACCAGTTCCTCACAAACCGCCATCAACCCCGAGAGCACCCGGCATTTCAGTGTGTTATGCTGACAACTCCCTTCCAGACCCAGCAGCGCGTGGCGCGGGAGCCACGCGTGATCGCGTCCATTCTTGGAAATTACCCTGCGCAGGCGGAGACCTTTAATCGACAATATAGCTGTAATAGTCCACATTAGATATGCAAAGGAACCCCGAGGTTGTGCACAACGAATTGGTCCATGTTCAATAAAGGCCACCGTTTGCGTGCCCGGGGCAACAGTATGGTCCAGCGCCATGGTAATTTTGTATTCCAGTTCGAATAGCTCCCCTTCCCAGTTGCGAGATCGCCGAAAATGATCCACCAGCGGGATATCGAAGACGATGTGCCGATGGGCTGTGTATCCCCGCAGAAGGCCATTCCATAGCGCTTGTACACTGAGGGAAAGCAAAGGCCAAATATTATTTCAAAAGATATTGCACACAACGAGATATTTATAACGAGCGAGTAGGTTGAAAACCTACAAAACCGGATAATGTAGTACCGATATTAATCTGACGTACCGGCTCGTTCGCAGTTGCGTAAGGACGTCCAAAGAGAGCAGAACACCCGCCAAAACTGGATGCGGAAGATCATTCAAGTTCAAGTTTCCGACATCCACGGCTACAATAACAACCCGTTAGCAACCAAAAGACTCAGTATCTAATCCCAGTCCAGGGAAAATGCTGGTAATTTGCAATACAAGTAGTTACGCCCTTTAAACCTACCCGTGGTACTCCAGTTACCAAACTTTAGCGCGCTGCTTATACCAACGGTGAGAGAGTCAAAGTCAACGAAGAAATTGTCGCCGTCGATATCCTGAACGTATCCCAGCCACCATTGGCCGGTGTCGCGCCGCACCAACACCGTGTTCCCGTAGTTCACTTCGCGCGCACCCGAATACAGCTGATTATAATAGCGTGATGTTGCATTCATGGTAAGAACTGACGATTTTAGTCACGTTTTCAGCGGCGTTGGTAAAAAACTAAAATCACGGGGAATTAAAATTATTGGAACTTCGGGCATCGAAAAACTCATGAAATTTGTTGCGACGACAAAGATCAGTGACGTTCTAGCCGGTTACAAAGCGCATTATGTATCTGTAGATCCGGTTGAGATTTTCACCCTCTGCTTTTCCGATTGTGTGGCCTGAATTGCAGCGTATACACTGTGCGGCGGTCAAAATGGTCTGTTGTTAATTGATTTTGGCCATCCTGGGGTAGCCTAAACCTAAAAACCCGGATGACGGATACGGTCTGAACCGAATCCATTTGCGGTAAAATTAGGCTGAAAAAAGACTTTCCATCCAAGGCGTAAATCGTGCTGCTGCGACTACTAGAAGTAATCTGAACACCGAATATGAACACGGATAGAAATCGTGTTCGTAAGCGCATCCGAGATCTGACTATGCATTCGGACCGAACCAGATATGGAAACGGTTGGGTATCGATGATTCCGGCCATCTACACTTCGGTTACGCTGATTATTTCGGCCACCACTCACATTCGACCACATTAAATTTAAGTTGAGTTTTACCAATATTAATTATTAATAATTAAAAATTTGCAAACATGCAGTCTAGTAAGAAGATTTCATGAATGCGTCAACGAATTGTTGCCAACTTTTATCTGTTTACATAAAATCTCATCAATACTTACTTTTGTTAGGAAAGAAGCCAACAAATAAAGCTAATATCTATAAATTAAGCGTGTTTATGGTTGCATAATGAAGCACAGCTAATAGTCAGCTATAATGTGTGTGACATGAGTTTTGTGTCTACTTGATAACACATCACTTAATACTCAAAAAAAGAAACAAAATAATTTGTTGGAACAGAACACAGATTACTCTCTTTTAAAAAGAAACTGGAAAGACTGGGAGCCTGTTGTAAATTGTAAGTAAACAGTTTACAATTCACAATAAAAACATTAAGTAACAACTTTGTGTCAAGTTGTAAAAGTCGAAATGTCATGTAGCCAAAACAAGGGTGGCCGAATATAGTGTGGACCGAAGTAACCAAGGCGAATTGTATGCTGCCGAAGTGATAACATAATTATGGCCGAAACAGCGCCGCCGAAGTGGTCAAGCAAGAACTACTTCATACCGGAAGTGCTCAACCGCCCTGGTCGGCGACTACCAGCTAACTAGCTGCACTCGATCCAACTGCTTTTAGATTTTCATATTGGTCGGTAGAGCTCGATGCGTATGCCTGTACGACTCGTACAAGTTTAATTTTTTAACGTAATTTCAATTGCGGTACCTCCAGTCAATCAAAAATCTGTTTTTTAATTGTGAAAAGGGTTTTTTAAAACTTCTTAGCCTCATAAAAAAGAGCAATGTTTTCTCTAAATAAATTCCAAGCGAACAGAATTCCATCAAAACATACAGAATCGACAGCAATCCGGAAACACGTTACGATTCAAAGCTTGAATTTCGTGCTTTACGGAAGGTTTACGAAACGAATAGGGCTATGACGTCTACAAAAGAGGCGGGGATTCGTATTCGGAACCGTATTCGTAGTGTTCAGATTGCTTTCTACTGTCTGTAACGAGACCAAAACGGAAACCATTCCACGAGTTTCGCGGCCAAACTGAACCAAAGGTTGTCGCCTGAAGGGTAATCTTATAATGACTAAATCACAAGACACGTCCGACCCGATACGAAGATAGCTTTTCACGACAGCTGACGACCATCGAGAGAACACACAACAACGGAAATAGGGTTCTTTGATTATTCCGTATGCAGTTTCATCAGCCTCCTGAGCCGGAGTCTTTCCACCCGCAATCGTTACCGTTTCGTGACCAAGGAACGGCGCAGTACTGATTAATCTTAGCGCAAATGGTCAATGTAGTGACCCTTTTCTAAGACGCAACAGATAACAAGCCTATGGGAAACTCTGACAAGCGCACCGTGATTTATTTATCTTTTGATAGGCTGGTCGCATAACGCGTTAAAATCTTAAATGAAGTTAATAATACAGTAAGCGTGGTTTCAGTGGTTTTTATTTCATCAGTAGATATCTTCGGTAACTACTCAGAAACTCATTTTCCTATTTTAAATGGTTATGATGGTGGATCTAGAAAGAATCCACGGACAGAGACAGAAACGGAATCTATCCTGTAGGGTGAGCAGTGTTGAACTACGAGTGGAAACGCAAGACACCCGACAATCAACTGCACACTTTATATTCCATTTATAGCACTAGCTAGCAGCAGAATGCGGGCAAAGACCAGCAGTTAGCGAACGACGATGGCTAGCAATGCAGAATCTACCAGATTGAAGATCTGGTAGATGAAGAAATTCAACATCAAAATACAGCAAAATACTTAGCACCCGCAGTGCGGGCGTACGGGGAGGCGTGCCTCCTCACATGGTATTCTGTAACTCA